TTGTATCACCGATACATATTACTGTATCACAGTGCTCGGATACAGAAAACTATATCAAATTGGATACAAAAATCTGTAATTTTTCTTAGAGTGCACCTGTCCACGCGGCAGTCCCTCATCTTTTTCACGCCCCCCCTTACTCTTCCCACGCTTAGATGACGGAGACCACCCCGGGCAGCGTACACTGCATCATGCAGATATCGCCCGCAGGCTCTTTCTCTATCCCTCTCCTTCTCCCTTTCCCTCCTTCTCTCTCTCTCTCTCTCTCTCTCATAGAAAAATTATTCCCCCCACCCCACCCCCTCTCCGCATCTTCCTCTCTCCGAATAACATTTCATATTCACATCTCACTCTGCTTTTGGGAGCAACCGGCAACACAAGTAGCTACTATTTCAAAAGGAGAGCGTCGTCGGGGTGGCACCGTGTGGGGATGGGGGGGGGGGCGTGAGCGACGCGGCGGTTGTGTAGACGTCTGCTCTTGATGCGGGTTGACAGCCCACAAGACAAGACCTGCATCAAAGCTTACACAGGTGCCGCCCGCGCCCCCCATTCGGAACGTTTTAATATAATAATAATTCCTCTCCAAATTACCTTCGGGCTCCGATATCATTTCCGTCGCCCGCCCCGCCCAACACCTTACCCGCCTGGTAGGTGTGAGGCGACCGGTAGCGCTGGCGATAAAAACCAATTGCCGCGTCATATTTACTCTAATTGCGCCGCCGATCAGGCACCATTACTTCACAGCGCGCTATGCTCACAGTACAGTGCACTGTAAAAAATGTCCGTGATTTGACGAAAAAGATATTAGACATATTGCCTCGTAGGTAATAATAATTTACGTTTTTTTTTCTTCGGGAATGTCAATTTTTCAGACTAAGTTTTCGTAATATCGCGACCATTTTTATAACAGCACTGGAAAAATAAATGAAGGACTTAGAGCCTTTTAAATGCGCAAAATTTTAATGCATTTAGGCACGAAAGTGTCTAAAAGCACTAAATGTTAGCACCTTTGGTGCATTTTCGTGCCTTTCAAGGGGTGCGAATTTTCAGCCTAAAGCTCGGCCTAAAGGCACGAAAGTTATTTATACCCCAAGAAGGGTGCTGATGCCTACCTTTGCTTTGCCAGTGAGTGTATACGAGTTGCGGAGTGAAAGTAAAACAAACTTTAGCCCTGTACAGCAAATGCCATACTATATTTGCATTACCACATATTTCAAGGAATTTATTTCGTAAAAATCAAATGTAATATTTTCTCGGTGCAAACACCCTTTTCGATGGAGATGTGTAATACTTTGTCTCCTACATAGTTGCGCACACACTCACAACTACCGCGGGAGGACAGTTCTTTCCATATGTGGCACGCGGCAGATAAAATATATTTAACGGGGGCAGCCGTCGCACCGAAGCATTTTTGAGAGCATCTTACCGCAGGTCCATAAAGGCTGCAAGAAGCGGCAGACGCGTGGTCAACGTATCGTGTTCCCGTTAGTGTCCAGCTCTGGTCCAAGCAGCTCGCCTAAACGCCATCAAAAAGTGCTGCTTAGTCTCGTAAAGCAGTGAGAAGACCTGCGGGATGGAGAAGGGGGAGGCGTTCCTTCCGGCATACGTCTTCTGGAGTACAAGAGGGGGTGAAAGGGGGAGGAACGCGGGGGGAAGACAGTAGGGTCGTCATTCCGAAAGGCAGGGTCACAGACGTCACAGCATATCATTTCTCGCTATAAAAGGCCGGCTCAGATGGCCAATAAAAATATTGCTATAAATGCTGGACTGTCACGGTAACGGGCTACAGGAGAGTGAGAGAGACCGACAAACGGACAGCAGGGATGTAGTTTTTCTTTTAAGTCCCCATCCAGCGGAATGTCTATATTCCAGAGAGCTTAAAATCGCGCGTATTAGAAACGTATAGAGAAAACTGCGCTGTACAAATGTTTACACGACGTTTAGTGTAGTCGGTCGGGATATCTCAATTGAGGCGCGCCTTAATGACCAGTGGCCGCCGCCGGCTGGACCAGCGAGGCTGCAGCTCGGGCTGCGGCGGCTGGGGAGCCTTCATTTTACGCGAAGAGGCGTCACTTTACGATCCTGCGCTGGCAAAAGGAGTTAAGGATGTGGTCAAGAGGTGAAAGAGGGGGAGGGGGGGATGTACAAAATGCATTTCACACACGTCATGAAAAACGGTCGGTGCAAAATGCACGGGACTGTTTATATGTTGCGCAGCCAGCATGAATGGGAGGATTTCGAGTGAAACGCATATTTTTCGCCCTGGTTGTGCGTGTGCGGGCAGACACGCCGTGCGCCATTGTTCGCCGCCGTCGTGTTGAACGCATGTTCCTACCCCCCCCCCCCTTTTTCCCCCGCATTGTCCGTATATCCCAGACTGTAATGTGACACTTGGGTGAAACGTTAAGTCCGTCTGTCACGGTCGATATTTGCGGGTCTCTCCGCGATGTTAATGTATCTTCCGCGGGAGAACACGTCCTCCACCCCCTTCACACCCCTCTCTCAGCGAACTCCTTCCCTGTCCCCTCTCTTCCACGCCACCTTCATAGTAACCGTGAACTTGGAGAGCTGTACACTACGGTGCGACACTTATTTTCTAACGTTTTCTTTCGTTTTCTTTTTATTTCAGTGTATGTGGTCAGCGGGGCCTATGCGACGGAATGGAGGCAGGGCTTGACTGTCAAGCTACAGGCGCGGTAAGTTTATGTTCCACGCCTCCCTTATTATTATTGTTATTTTTGGCGGATGTAATATTATCCCGCACTCCGTTCTATTCAAGGTTCTATTTTGTGATTTAGTTCAGTGGACCTCGCGGGGGTTTGCCCTATATGCCGAATCGAGCCGAATCAACTAGCTCAGGCCGGCTCCTTCCTAGCACTGTTGGTCCCACTCAAAACAACGCACACGGAAAAATAACACAACAACAGCAAATCATTCCGAAAGAGCGGGAAGGAAAATCAGTTGAGGCAGCCCGGAGAGCAGGCTGATGTAGGTGCCGCCAGAGGCTGGGGTGGGGACTCCATAGAGCGCGCGGGAGCGGCCGGACCCGACACTATATGCACCGGGAGAGCAAATTATCACCTTCCCACTCATTTGCATAAGAACCCGAATGGCTCTATTATGACGCGTGGGTGCTCCCTCCCCGGGCGGGGGAGTGTCCCGGCCACGGCCACGACGGAGCCGAGCAAAACAAAGCTGCTCGGGGGAGAGAAATATGCGTCGCGTCTCTGGGCCAAGCAGCGGGTCCGACTGCATCGCACGCGAGGTGTGCGGGGCGGGCGGGCCGGGACGGGCGCGAGGCCAACAAAGGGCAATAATATCTCAATCTCGTCGGACACGGAATACTAATCGCCGCACGGCACGACGCGGCCCACCCTAAGCGCGCCCAGCGAGCCTCGCGCGCCCGTCAGAGCTAGTAGAGCGGTGGCGGCGGACAGGACAGGAAACAATTCGGACGCGATGCAGTCTGTAGTGGGGTGGGGGAAGGGGAGGAGAGAGAGAGAGAGAAAGAGAGAGAGAGAAGCAAGAAATAGGGGATGGTTGGCTGGCTAGATCGGAAACTTTGCTGCTGCTGTTAGGAAACAAAATATTTGATGAGGACTGCACAGTTCAAAACCTTTGGGATCAATCAAAATCTGTCGCAATTTCCCACAATAATTATGTAACACATGATTTGTAACTGCAAGGATTTTGACGGTTGACGATATGGCTTTGGTTGTGTTGTGCAACGTGCTCTGTGGGAAGAAGTCGCACTAGAAGTTAATCGCGGTGTAACGTTTTTTCACTGTTCATTTTAAAGCGCATTATGTATGTCATATGTACCGTATGTCATGGCTACGATACATCAGTGTTGCAGATTTTTCTACCGTATGGCACTGTATGGGCCATGGTTCCGTGTGGACCGAGTAGGCAAATGCACACTGGAAAAACAAAGGTAGGAAAATTACCAGCACTGCATTAAAACTGCCCAAAGGTCCTAACATGTAATGCTTTTGTACACTCTCGTGCCTTTGCAAAGGCATTAAAATTTAACACCCCTAGAAAGGCATCCAGTCCCTACGTTTGTTTTTCCAGTGCGCATACTGTGTCGTAGTCGTAGTACTACAACACACGGAGGGAGAGAGAGAGAGAGAGAGAGAGAGAGAGAGAGAGAGACAGACAGACAGACAGACAGACAGACAGACAGACAGACAGACAGACAGAGGCCAAGCGTTTGTTCGGAATGAGGAGCGATGAGGTGTCGGATCGCCATAAACGCACCTCTGAGCCATAAAACCGATTAGTAACTTTTGATCGTTTGGCGTCCAGCTACTCGCCGTCGCCGGCTCCTAGCCTGTCGTCCCAGCAAGTCAATCGGTTGGAAACAACGAGCCAAAAAGTAGGCCGATACAAGACAAAATAAAAATAAACTTGTCAATCTGACTTTTAGCGTTTTGCTTGAGATGATGTAATACTTCTTATATCATTGCCATAGTCTTAAAATGCCATCATAAAAACAATGCATACCTCTTTTCTTTTCTTTATCGCCCGAACTATATACGTATCGTATCTGCGTAGAATATTTATTTTATTTTTCTTCCTGGAGTTGTTGGCAGCAAGCGCTCAAATAATATATCTGCCGTATACAACGCTCTTTTAGTCGCGGACGTAGACTCTACTCCACGCTCAGCATTGATCGGAAAAATAAAAAGAGCGAGCGTTTTTACAGAAACTTGTTATGCGCTCGCACGCGCCGATGCGCCCGAGCGCCGCTCCCTCCTCGTACCGGAAGAGTGTTTGTTCAGGGGCGAGCGATTTTCGACACTTCGGCACCCTCTTCGGTTCCCTTCGGCCGCGCCGGGCTGCGCGCGCCCAGCCCTGCATTCTGACACGTCCCCGGCCCCCGGCCCGGCCCAGGCCGGCCAGTGGCGTAGTGGGTTCAGAGCAAGAGAAAGATTGTGACGTCATTCTCTCTCGCACAATGCAGCGTCCTCCACGTTGGCGCATAAGGCATTGCGAACGTGGCAGCTATGGAACTGGGTGATTAAGGAGGACGGACTCTCGCCTTATTTCTGCCGTTTCTTGAGGATAAAATGGTGATGCGCGGGGCCCCACGGTGTTGTGTCTACGCCGCTGTACTCGAGCGGCGTTTACCTGGGCAAATATGGGAGCCCGTCTGTCTACACGGCCAGAGTACACTGCTCGCTGGGCTGCATCAGGGCGCCGCGCCACACCACGACACGCCTTGCCGGCCCGCCACGCCCTTCGCTCGCTCATCGGACGCGTGGTGTGGCATGGCGCCCTAGGGCTA